TTTTGAGACAGAGAGAGACAGAGTATGAGCAGGGAAGGGGCAGAGAGAGAGGGAGACACAGGAGAAACAGGCTCCAGGCTCCGACCTGTCAGCACAGAGCCCGACGGGGGGCTCGAACTCACGGACCGTGAGATCATGACCTGAGCTGAAGTCGGACTCCCAACCGACCAAGCCACCCAGGCGCCCCTCACTGCAGCCCTTTTAAGTGGACGGATCCGGGGCAGCGAGTACATTCACAGTGTTGTGCAATCGCCACAACTGTGTCCTGAACTTTCCCATCTTCCCAGACGGAAACTCTGTCCCCGTTAAATACCCACTGCCTGCTCCCTCCCTCCCTCGGCCCCCGGGGAACCTCTCGTCTGGTTTCTGTGCCTACGAACTGGCCTCCTCTGGGTGTTTTACGCCAGTGGGATCGCGCAGTACGTCGCCCGTGTCTGACTTGTGTCCTGGGCACGCCGTGTGCATGGTGCGTCCGCACGGCCGTGCGCGGGGCTTCGTTCCTCCTCGCGGCTGGAAGGCGTCCGGTGTGCGGGCGGGCCGCCTGTGTTTATCCATTCATCTATCAAGGGACACTGGGGTTGTTTCCTCTTGAGATGAAATCTTTAGAGGCGCCTGGGTGGTTCAGTCGGTTGAGCGTCTAACTCTTGATTTCTGCTCAGGTCATGATCCCAGGGCCGTGTGACTGAGCCCTGTAGGGGGCTCTGCACTGATCATGGAGACTGCTTGGGATTCTCTCCCTCTTTCTCTCTCTCTCTCTCTCTCTGCCCCTCTCTCCCACTCGTGCACGCTCTCAACAGTGAGGGTAGCAGGGCTCTGAGCTGTGGGGTGGTAGGACCAAAATGGCTTTGGACTTGGAATGAGAAAGCTGGAATCAAGGCCCGGCTTGTTCGGTGGCAAATGGCCCTCCCACCCACACCCACGTGTCCTCAGCGGCAAAGGATGGGGACGCGTGTTCCCGAGACGCTCCCCTGCCGGCAAGCAGGCGGGCCGGGAAGCTCTTTTTCTGAGAATCTGTCCCCGCTGTGTTCAATTTAAATTTCTTTTGTGAAACGTGATACTGTATGTATACAGCAAGAAGTCTAAATGGCCCCGCAAGAGTATTTCAGTGGCCATTCTGTTCCCTTCCCGCCCTGCCCTGATAGCGTGGCCTCGCCCCTATGCTCTCTCTGTGTGTCTCTGCATCTCTGTCTCGGTGAGTCTCTGGGCCTGGCTCCTCCTTGCGCCTTGCGTGCTCTCCAGGGATACAGTGTAGCCTGGGCTCCCCACCTCCGCCTCCCTCGGCTGTCACATTGTATCTGAGAGATGGGCCTGCGGAGGCAGAGGGGCTACTCTCCTGCAGGATACGCTGTAACCTACGGAGCGGAGCGTCTCCCGAGGGCGGATAGTTAGGTTCGGTCCAGCCTTTTGCAACCCGCCAGTCTGGCACGCAGGCATTCTGTTCCATGCGGGGCACACCTGTCCCGCCAGTTCTGAGGCCGCCCCTTCTCGGCGCTGCTGTTTCGGGAGCCAGCCGGGAGGGTCAGCGCTGGGAGCCAGGTCCCCGAAGCTGTGCGGGGGCTGTGGCCCTGCCCGCTCTGGGACCCCCCCCCATCCTCGGTGTTCTCCTCACCCCACCTCACACTCTGCTCTTGCGGAAGGGTCTTAAAGCCCCGAATCCTAAGCCTTAGGAGGACTTACTGTGAAGGAGTAAACTTATTTCCCCTTGCGTTTAAACCCTTTATACAAACGAGGTTCCACTGACCCAACATAGGAAACTGTGGGCTCCCACTGAAGCCCTGGGGTGGGGGTGGGGGCACGCTGGTCTTTCTACCCACGCACAGATTTCAAACCCACTGGTTTAAAGGGTTCCTTAGAGGGGCGCCTGGGTGACTCAGTCGGTGAAGCGTCCGACTTCAGCTCAGGTCACGATCTCGCGGTTCGTGGGTTCGAGCCCCGCGTTGGGCTCTGTGCTTAGAACCCTCTCGTGCCAGAGTAGAGAACCCTCAGATTATTGACCTCACTGCCCTTATTTTACTCTTGCGGGCAGAGCCCGGAGCAAGGCAGTGGTGGGCCAGGACTCACACGAGGCCGGGGCGCCTGCCCTCTGTGCTGCTACTTTCTGACATGTGGACACTTCACTAGAAGGTGGCACACTGGGGCAGGAATCCTCCCCGAGAAGGTGGGGGGAGCTCGGAGGTTGGGGCTGTGGCCGTGGATGTGGAGACCATCCCTTCCACTGATGGAGGACATCAGTGTCCTCAGCGTGGAGCCCCGCCCCCATCTGCCCCCGTGATCTCCCCAAGCGCTGGCCAGGCTGAGGAAAGGGCGAGGGAAGGCGTCACCCGCCCTTTTATTCTGCCCACTTCTCACTGCTGTCCACCTGCCCTCCCGTCCCCCGTCCACGACCCGGTGTAGGATGCCCGTGTGGGCTAGCCTTTTGGTCATCTCTATTGATCTCGATGCCTGCTCAGAGACCTTGGCCACACCCCCCATCATGGGGTGAGCCGAGGTGGCCAGATTCTGGCTGCCCTTGAAGGTGGCTCCAGCTGTCTCCACTAGAGGCTGGGACTAGCCAGCATCTGCAGGCGGGGCCTGGGACTCCCAAAGAGCTGGGCCCTGTACCCCATGCCTCCCCAGCCTCCTCGGGGCTCTGGCCTTGGGGAGGAACCCCAGGGCTCCAAATCTCACAGGGTTCTAGAAAAAGGCCAGGGTCGGACGCGAGGCCAGCAGGAATTAGGGCAGGAACAAGTGGGCAGAAGCGAGGCGGGGAAAAAACCAGGCAGCGATAAACAGCGGCCTTCCCAAAGTCGGGCTCCCTGGCTTTGGCAGAGTCGGAGCAGGCCAGTGCTGGCTGCAGGCTGTCTGGCTCCCGACCACACACACACGGGTCCCGCTC